AGGCTTGGACTCTCCGGTGAACTTGCTGACTCTAGTCGCCTACTTGAAGTTGGGAGGAATCACTATAGCCCTGATGGCTCTGCTGAAACATTCTGGACCCGAAACATGAACTCTACTGCCAGTCAGACGATCTCTGTCAAGGTCTTCTGTGTGCGCTCTGTTCCGGTCGACTAGACCTTGAACGAGAATAGATCTTGCATCAAAGCCTGGCTCTCTTGGGTCGACCGGTACTCCACGCTCGCCACTGTGAAGGCGCCTGTCATCGTATTGCCGAGGCACATATGACCCACTCCTCGGAGGAGGTGTGGGCGGTCGATGACGGTCGTCACGGCCGAGTCGGTGATCATACTGCCCGTGGTTCCTGTACTGATCCTGCTGATGCCCACGACCTTCACGCTGCAGGGGCGATCTTGGGCTGTGGGCCACCACGGACCTGCTATGAATCATATTCCACGACTGAGACACTGTTGTATTCTGTTCCCCTGCTGCCCGGAGTAAGGCCCGGATCTGCATCAAACCTCTGCCAGCCTTCGACTGGGAAGGTTGAATTGACTCTGCTATATGGGCCGCAACTGTGAGATTTTGAATCGGAGTGCGGTATACCTTAGGTTGAGGCGGAAAAATCTATCATCGACTGGACTCAGGGATCCGCTCTCGAGCACGTTCGTCGAGTGCGTGCTGAAGGATCTCCAGTCGAGTGCGTGCTGAAGGATCTCCAGTCGAGTGCGCTCAGCCAAATTGGCCAGGCGCACCTCTTCCAAGGCCCGAGCCTTGGGGGTTTCCCCAATGATGGGTGTGTGGAGTGCATCCATGTTGCGGCGATGAAGTTCTTCTCTCTGCTGTGAAGAGAGCGGTTCAGGACGGTATTCCTCATGAACGCGCCACGGATCGCCGCCACCATTGCCGCCGTCATCACGGCGGAAGCCAGGCGGACTACGCGGTCCGTCGACCATCAAAACTTCGGCCGCAGGGTCGCTGCTATCGCACTCGGATGCGGTCTCGACGGAGCCAGTCGACAGGTCGAACAGGCTGTAGAGAGTTTTGTCGGGCTCAATTGTCGCGACTTGATGGGTGGCCGAATGACGAGCCACCGCATGTTTCACCCACCGCTGAAGCCACGACTGACCGGATCGCTTGCGACGGCTTACAGCGGGGAGAGAAGACACCACGGGAGCCGACCGATACTGGGTCGAGGGCTGCCGGAGAAGGACGCCTCGTACCCATGCGCAAAAGTGCATCGCCCCTTGGACGGGGAGTGCCTCGATGTCAAGGGGAGCTTCTTGAAGCCAGGCGGAGTCGTCGGCGGCGAAGACGAGCGCGCCGAGACGGACCTCGCGGCCCTCAGCCAATCCACCGCCGGAAACCATGATGATGGAGATCGGAAAAATCGCAACTTCACCAACAAGTCGCTAAGACACCTGCCCCAAGGTGGGCGCCAATTGTCGTGGTCCTAAGACTGAGAGTAGAAAGAGGGTAGGTATGGAGAGGCAAGATCTCAGCTATGGTGAAGTTGTACACACAGGATTTACGAGTCCAGGCCCTTCACGGTGGAAGTAAAAGCCCTACGTCTCGGTGCCCGGAGGCGGTCGATTGGATTATATTGTGTGGTGTTACAGGGGGTGCGAACCCTTGTGCCAGAGGAGGATGGTGGCTTATATAGAGTGCGCCAGGACCCCAACCATCCTCCATTACAAGGGATTCAATGTACATAAAGACATGGCGTTACTAGTAACGCTAGCCATAAGTGTTATTAATGACTTTAAAGACTACGGAGTGAACGCCTGACCGTTGCAGTGCTGAGTGACTCTTGGTCTTCAGTAGGTCGAGTGATTCCTTGTATGGTCGAGTGACATCAGGTAAGAGGGGTATCCGAGTGATATGACTGGTCGAGTGGATTTCACTCAACACCTTTGACTGGGGGTTCTTTGTTGTCTCCTGGACTTCTTTGCTTCTAGGGTAGTGACCTTGGGTAGGGCGTATAGGCCAGGTCTATGACCCTACCCTGGGTCTGTATCCTCATCATTGCCTGCCTGCGGCCTGCGGCGTGGCTCCACCAATGGCCCAGTACGGCCCGTCTTCATCAGCCAACACTCAAGACCCTTGCAAGGGACCAAGCCTCACAGGGCAGACGACACAAGGCCTCCTCAGGAGTGGCCTCACCAGGCAGGCTCGCGAGAAGGCGGAGAGATCAAGGCAAGGGGTACCTCGCGAGGTTCCCGTGACGCAAGCCATGACGATCAAGGCCAGGCGGGCGCCAGCCCGCGCAGTGTCCTCGTTTCCCCTTTAGTGCTAAGAGGGCAAGCGCAGCCGCGGAGTACCGAGGCATCAGGCAAAGGTTTCCATATCGGTTCAACGAGACCAAGACTAGCAGGACGGCAGGACGGAGGTCATCGTGGAGCCCAAGACGGCGTCATCACCAGCGCCTTTGGCAGGCGAATACCACCTTTAGTCAGGATAGCTTGTACTAGCTATCCCCTTTCAAAATGGCCATTGTTGGATCCCTTCCCGCTCAATATTTGGGAAGAGGACCAGGCCTCTATAAATAGGGCTAGCCACCATAGTAGAAGGGACACAAACCCAATTCATCTACACGCCACCAAGCACAAGAACACCTCTCCTCGCGAGGCTGTTCTTCCCTTGTACTGTTCATCATCAGCCCAAGAGGCAATCCACCACACCACACACAGGAGTAGGGTATTACACCACAGCGGTGGCCCGAACATGTATAATCTTGTGTCTCTTGTGTTGTTCATCGCCCTAGCTTAGAGATCGCGGCGAGGCTGAGGGCGTGTTTCGGTAGGGAGAAATCTTCGTGCGCACCCCAGTGTTCGAACCTTAAGGGTTTTGCCGGAACCTGATATCCGACAATTTTTATACACATTTTTAATCATTTTTTCTGAAAAAAGGGGGGCACGGGCCCCGTATGTCATAGGCCCAGTGGCCTAGCAGGGAGGGTTATCAGGCGCACGGGTACGGGCGCCCGTGCCCGAGGCCACCAGGGGGCGGGGAGCAGGGTGATGCCCCGGGCGGCGGCGGCGGCAGCCAGTGGCAGGGCACGCCCGGGAATGGGCCGGGTCGCCGGAGCCAGGGGCGCCAGGGCGATGGCTTGGACGAGGCCGGAGTGAGGAGCGGCGCGGAGCGTCTGTGGCGCAGGCGG